ATTTTCCAACGGGGGGAAAAAAAAATGATTTTTTTTTTCTCCATTGTTTGATCGTTGCTTCCATTTCATCATTCGCAATATGACGACTCGTTGAAGTAAAGGAAGACGGATCGAGGAGTTGAACAAAAGTTGCCACGCAATTATGATTCTATTTTCTTTCCCAACCCAAATTCACCCACCTCGAAAATTTAGAGCCTCGACTATACGTTATCTGTTTATCAATTTTCCTATTTTGTTTTTAAATACACAATATTCTTTCTCAAAGTTTAACCCCGCGCGAAGAAACAGAGGAGAAAATGAAATAAAATAAAAATTCATCTCCCACGGCTCGCTCGTATTCAGTTTCTCGTGTCATTTACGATATTCGCAACGAGCCAAGCAGGTAAACACAGGTTGAAACGTGAGCGGCGATACGAGAGAGAAAACTTTCGTTAATTGGTAGCGGAAACGTGTAACTCGCCGTTTCGTTTTCTTCCTTCCGTTCTTTTTAATCCCACATCGATACCAAGACTTCCGCCCCCACTTTTGTTCTTTACAAACGCGTCTCGTGCGAGAAATATATATATATATATATGTATACAGAAGTTGGGAAATAATGTGGAAGCGAAAATTCCCTATCCCGTGATAATTATCGCGGATTCTCTCGAAAGGGGTTTCTTTGAAAACGACGCCTGTCGCGCTCCACCGCGTGTTAATTTCCATTTGAATTTTATACCGAATCCCGAAACGGCTTTGTTATTATAAACCAACGACGGGTTCGACGGATGAGAGCGCGTCTGTCACTAATAACGTGTCTTTCGATACGTGTCGAAACGGTTGTCAAAGTTGTTTGAAAAATTTGTGGCGGAGGGAGGGGAGATGGAATTACACATGGCGAATGTTGATGCTACGTTCTCGTGTTTCTTTCTTTTGATTAAAATTGGAGAGAGAAAAAAATTGATTTCAAATATTCTGTTAATAAGTAACTTTGGTGATAAATAATTGATTTAGTTAATAATCTTCATACACGATTATCACGATACGAGATTAAGGTGTTAAAATTAAAATTAATTGCCTTGCCTAATTTTCCCTAAACCTTTCCTATTCGAACCGCTTTACACTTTCATCGAGTATCATAAATTTAATCCTTTGTCCAATTTTTCTTTGAAAATCTTTCACTTCTTCTCCGTTAAGAACGTTTTCTTGGAATCTCGATTTGCAATCGTCGATTACCCGCCCCAAAGAATAAGGAAATCTTACGATACGTGGCCAGTATCGTTTATCCACCCCTCCCCCCTCCCTCCTCGTTTCGATATCGATTGCAATCCACTGGTATTCTTTTCCATTTCCTTCTTCCCCGTATTCTCGTATCGCACTGTTTCGTGAAAGCGCCGCTTTTATATTTTTCTCGTTGACTCGCTTCCACGGATTATCTGGCTGGATGCCATCTTGAATTGCGCATTCCCGATAATTCTTTCCCGCTTATGGTAGCTCTATGAGGAACGCCTGTTCCCCTTCCCTTCCCCGGGGTTCACGAACGATTATCGATGGAAATTTTGGGGGAATTGAAATCGAGGCTACTTTCGAGGCTGTGTTTTCTTTCTCGTTGAAGTATTTATTTGAATCATTCGATATTTAATATCGAATGACTTTCTGATGGAATATGATATGTATCGTTTTGGATTTTTGATCTCGAGCAAGATCACAATAAATTCTACTTTTGCTCGAAGTTGAGGAACTAGATGGATTATGAAAGTAATTGAAAATGTACCGAGAAAATCAACCGTTCTTCTCTCAGAAGAAAATGTTTTAATTAAATAAGATAGAAAATATTCGGTACTTGTACGTTTCACGATTCTAAAATATCTACAAAGGGATTAGAAACTGGAAATTATACGCGTAATAGATTGATTTATTTCCAAAAATCGACGCTATTTTCCCGATAAACCGACCCAGCGCGAGACAATGACACCAAATCAACAAAGAAAATTCATCCATTTAAAGAAAAAACATACTAACGAGTTAAAACTCTTATTTCGGTGAAATACGCTTATACGAATTTTAATAGACGAGATTTAAAAGAAAAGGAAAAAGAAGAAGAAGAGAGAATACAGGTACGAGTGTGTAAAATATCGTTATAACATATTGCCACTATCTTAAACACAAAGAATCACAGGTCTTTTTTCTCATTCGCGGTCAGGGTACTGACTAACACGGGCTACCCGTATATAGCCAGAGAGTTAATACGTTTGTCTATGACAGAGAGAAGGTGGCTGAATTGGAATCTCTCTGCGGAGCAACTTCGTCTCCGCACGGCTGCATACATTGTACCATCGCTCGTGCAACAGTTAATTTTTCGCGGAAATGAAAAGGAACTTTTTGGATAATTGTTATAATCGTGTAAAGAATCGAAGGAACGAATCGATCGTGGAGTGAACTTTATTTTATTATATACGAATAACATCGATAAAAATATAAATGATAATGGATGGGAATAAATGCATTTGTTTCTTTTTTTTTTATTTGAAACTGTTCGATGAAAAATTTGAAGAATAATCATTATTTTTATCTGATTTGATCTTTTACGATATATAGAAATAAAACTCGTTAAAAATAAAATTTGCGATGAGCGAGTTTTAAAATTGTACGACGTTTTCTTCGATTTCCCTGGAAATCCATGACATCTCGAAGATATTAGTTACAAGGCAAGGAATTAATTCGAAGTTTCAATGTTTGAAAATGATCGTTGCTTCCGGTGATTTTCACCCCCGCATTATTTCATGATACGATGATTTATTCGTTTATTTATTAATGACGGAAGATAAATATAGTGGATTATTTTATCGCATGAATAATTCAGTTAAATAATAATATCGTCCGTACGTGGGGATCGTATTAAATAAGTAATGCATTGAAAACAATACTGCATTATAAAAACATTATCCTGATTATTAAAATGTAAAACTTTTTTGCGAGGAGAAAGGCTAATGAAGATTGATTGGATAACATGTATTCCTAGATGATAATTTATTAAAAAAATTTCTAAAATTCCTACTTTTAGAAAAAAGAGATAGATTAATACGTGAATAGAATTTTTTTATAAATTTATTATAAAATCTAATACATAACGATATAAAAAATTGATGGAACAATTTATCTGCATAAATATAACTGTTGAAGAGCAAATAGATCAAGACGAATAAACAAATAAATGCAATTTTTTATAAATTCGATATAAATCCGATAAAAATTCATTACAGTAAAAAGAATTTATTAAACGATATCTCTTGCCTAAAATTGAAATTACTCCATTTAAAAAATAAATAGATCAAAAAAGAATTTTCCAATCAATTGAACGGAATAAATAGAATTTTTTTTATAATATTCCAAAAAATTCGATATAACATAAAAATATATATATATATATATTACTAGAAATAATAATGATAGAAATTTTTAACGAAAATTTAATTTACGTAATATATTAAATTATGTTTAATTAAATTGTTTCAAGAGATTTCGAATATTTTCTTGTGAGGCGAAAAAACCAAGAAACATTATTATCACATTATTTTGTTTAAAAATATTTACATTCATACGCTACGCAAATGAAATTCCACGAAATGAACCACGTAGTTCGAATGTTTCGTGTTTCAGCGAATATTTCATCCGTGTGACATCAACAAACCACAGGTAGTTGAATCGGTCGTATTCATAGCACATAGAAGTCCTCTTGACCAAAGTAACCGAGGACACGAAACATTTGGTCGATCGCGACGCGTTCTAAGTGATGGACAATATTCTACCGCCGATACCCGGAATCGATTGGAAACATTCCTACTAAACGACGCTAAACAACAAGTTCGACCACTGTGTCTGACGTGGCGTGATACCGCAAACGAACGTGCAAAATAAACGCGACATTTTATAGAATTTTACGTCATACGTTTTAAAATATTGATCTCAGAAATAAATCGTTTCGAGTGCTCTTTGATTAATTATTTATCTAATTGTTGAAAGTGGCAAAAAATTTTTTTAACGAAAGATTAACTATATCAAATGTATAATCAAACTAATTATCAAATTAACCATGTCAAAGACAAAACAGAGACTCGAATGGATAAAGCATAGAAAAAGAAACGTTACTAATTCATGGATTCATGGTACGAGTAATAAATACTCGTGATCATGCAAAATTCTAGATAATGCAACCAATTATCCATTTCGATGTGAATTTTTTATCCCATGACATGATTGGAGGAACAAAAATGCATGCAACTCACCATTTGATGCGAAGAATGCTGAATGATGAAAAGTCACACAGTAAATACCACCATTATAGGAAGAAGTGAAAGCTATAAAACAAAATATGGAAAAATATAATGTTTTTAAAAACATAATAAAATCAATTGTATGAAAATATAAGAAAGAAAGAAAGATATTTACCTATTAAAGTAAAAAATGGTCTTATATTTTTGAAAGAAACACTGACTCTAATATATACCGAGAAGAAATATTTAAAATGTGTAAAAAAAAAAATAAATAAATAAATAAAAGACTAAAAATAATCTGTTTAATTTGCAATTGGCGAACAAACACTGATTCTAATTTCGCGTGAATGATTAATAATTAATTTAATTAATAATTAAATTTAATTAGAGCTATTGTGCTCTGAAAAATATTAAAAAATACTTTTACGCAACAAACACTGACTCTAATAACCGCATTGCACGCGGTTGCAAATATCTGAAACTAATTGAAAATTAGCGATTAAGAAATAGCATAGAAAATGAAGAAAAATATTGATATTGTATATTTATGAATTGATTCTAAAAACTACTATAATATTATTTCAATGTATTTTTTAATGTAAATGATAAATAGAAACTATTTAAAAATCTAATATTATTAATTTACTTAACAAAAATATGTTCAAGATTATTAAAAGTTCAATAAAAAAAGGAATAAAAATGTATACATTACGTTTGTTGGTAATATAAAATCAAACTTGTCTATGAAAAAATATAATGGCATCCATCTTGGAATTTTTCCTGCGCACTCTCACTAATTATTTAATAATCTGCAAAAAATAAAATTGAAACTTCAATGCAAATGTATAAAAGATATAAAATACTAAATAAAGTAATAACTAAACTCAAATTTTAAAAAAAATATATGAATAGAAATAATTAACTACGCAGAAAATAAATTACACGATATTCGAAAAACGTCTAATCATTACGACTATCGACAGTGACATCTCACGCCACGATTTCGTTTATAGAATTGGAGTGGGGATTTGACTTGACAAAAAATTTGAACGAATAGAAAGCGACACGATGAATACAAATTATTCTCACACGAATTCACATTTACGAAAGAAATGTAGAAATATCTTAAATAAATAATAAATCAATTTAATGCGTAAATAGACGTAAAATATTTATATACTATTATATATTACTTACGACATATTTGTATAGAAATCATGATTGTTAATTGTCACGCTTACTTCGATATTACACAAGCAATTGAAGAATAATCTGTAAAAATAAAAATTAAAACCTTAAATATATAAAATAAAAATTAATTAATATTAAAATAAAATAAAGCTCAAATTCTGATTCAATATAAATTAACGGTATTTTTAACAATTGAATATGAACGATCGATGAAAAGTGAAGCAAAAAAAGTTCTAAAAATTATTTAATTTTAATATGACGGTATTTAATAAATGATCGAATAAACTTATTGAATTAGACTAATAACTTATACTAATAACTTAACTAATAACTAACTTAATAATAAACTTAACAAAGAAAAGTTTTATTTAATATCACATACCTTTTTCGATGAAACACATCCTGCCTCCATGATTTTTAACAATAAACTGATGTGGTTCGCTACTTACGCACCTATTTTTCTAAGCTGCTTTCTGATTGGCTAATAGGATATAGTTCTTTTCCACTTAAAATCATATACAAAACTAAAATATTTAATTATAAATTTAATTATGAATTTTTACAACATCAAAATTTTATAAAAACTATTTATAAATATACAATGAAAATAAATCACTTCAAATATTATTAAATAAAAATAAAATAATACGAATGAGATATAATATGTGCAAATTTAGAGGTCACGTGACTTTCCAATCAGCGAGAGTATTACATGAGTCATATATACGTTAGTCCAGTGCCATGTTTTCGTGTGTCAAAGTGTATCAAAGTGACGCTTCGAAGAAATTGCTTGAAATGTGAATATATATTGAAGCAGATATTAAATGGAGAGTAATTTAACAAGTAAGTGAATTAATTATTAATCATTTCCATTTTTAACTAAGCTTTTTACAGTAATAACAAGCTATTAGAATAATAACTCTTCACACGTCTAATCTAACCTAAATCGCGCATCCAAATAATTTCCATTGTTCAAAATATATAACACTATTCGAATTATGATATGATATATTCTTAATACTACATAATAATAACGATGACTAGATTTCGAGCATATATTAACATCGAAACTTTTTCGTTCTCGCCCAAATGATCTTCTAAAGATAACTCGCGCGACGAAATAAGATGGCTGACGTTCGCGAGCTAGCTCGAATCGCGTCGATGAAAGCTCGCGGGGCTAGGGTAAACGTTCGACGCCGGATGTTATTCAATTTCGCATTCATTACGCGGAAAACAAGGACGATGCCTCCCACGATCGCTTCAGGCGTTGCTGGTTCGTTAAAGCGTTCTCGCTGGCTGGCTTGTGTCTCTACGAGTTTGCGCTTTCGTGTATTTGTTCGATCACGTCACAGATGCACACCAGGCCCCCACATACGCGGTGTGTCCTAAAATTTTCAAAACTCGTACATATTTCCTCTCCAATTTTCAAATAAAACTGAAGATTATAATTTTTATTCTTATCAGTTTCATCCAAAATGTTTTCATCATCTATGGATTGGGATGAAAATGGTTGTGTGAAAGTGCTTAAATTTTGAATCGAGAGTTGTAATACAGATTGATCTCTGTAATTTTCAAAAAATCAAGATATAGGTAAGTACTTGTAACAGTTATTATACAAAATTTATTTCACATAACCTTTTCGTTAGAATTACATAACCTATTTGCAAAATCTACATAACCTATTTTTTTCACATCAAATTTTCATACTATACTGAAAAAAGAGGAAATGATTTTTAATATAGTAATATATTTAATTTCAGGAACGACAAAATTGTTAAGCAAAGCTGAAAATTGCGAGACACATTGTACGTATACACGTTCACTGGATATATATGATGAAAAGCATGGGCGCAAAGACAATGCCAGAAGAGAACGGAGAAACGCGCGCAAGTCGCGGCGGTTCAAACAAATGCGAATCGCGCGAATATGCGCGTGCTAATATTGATGTTATACACACAAACACACGGTGGGTTGACGTTATTCGTGGCGGAGCGGATGCGTTCTCAAATACGTTCGAACGAAGAGACATGTATGAGCTTGGACAGGTTGGATATAGGGAGGAATATAGTTTGAGTAATAGTTTGCTGTAGTTAGGTTCGAGAATAGAGTGGAATTTCGAGAGAAGGAAGCGTTTTACGGATGGCTCTTGGGCTGAGAATAAATTGGAGAGTAATTAAATATATACAAAGAAGAAATAATTTGCCATATGGAGAATATAAATACAAAGACCGAATTTTTAATTTTTGTTCAACAATTTTGTACTCAATAATATTTCTCCGTAATTAATTATATTATATTTGCGCAAACGAACATTTAACAATCATTTAATTATTTTCATTATCGTCTCTAGACTATTTTTAGAAATTTAACTTTGATTCCTTGCTCCCCCTGATTGTAAATAATGTAAAATATCGTCAAAACTTGCGAGCTGGCATTGAATTAAAGATGTATTCCATCAGGTAGCATTTCAATTACTACCCCCAGAATCAAGTCAACGTGCTCAAAATACAATGTCTGGGCAAACAATGCTCCATTGAAAACGCGTGCACGTATATACAGGAACACCATTTACCTTCTCGAGCGAGAAACGAAAGCGTTATACACGTACGTTATACAAGTATATACGCTCACATAGGCAACGATCAATCTTCTTAAGAACTCGCGTGAAACACGTGACACGATACTCGATACAGAGATACACGTCTGGCATAGCGCAATTCTGAACGAATAACGCGAATGCAACGAGCTCGGTGATGATAATAATAATACGTCGCGACGTACGCACTCTTCGTTCGAACGTAAAAAGATCGAGTTTCTAAGTTATGTATGAAAAGATAACCCCGTAACCGGATATAATTTTTCCTTGTAGATTCCTCTGGCTAGAATTTTATCGTACGATAGATTATATTATGAAATATCAAAAAATTTGCAAATTTCTTTAAATTCATTTAACGTATTTATTAAGCTTTGAGATAAAAATATTATTAAAAATATTCGATTCTATGAAATTAATTTAAAGATTGACGAGGATTTTGATCGATGGTGTACAACTACATGAATACCGTTAAACATTCATACAAATGTGTGTTACAGCAACGTGTTCTTTATATATTTTCACATATGACTTTTCGATATTTCAATTTTTATTATATTTCATCCTTTCTTTCAATATCCATTAATTTCCATTTTGCATTTTACGTTTCGCAACTTTTATTTGTTTCCATTTATTATACTTTTTAAACGTTTTTAAGTCGGCGTGGTAAACGGACTGACATCCCCGAATAAATCACCGAATTTCATATTAAAACTATGGATTATCGAAAAAAGAATATTTCATCATCCAAAAATTATCAGCATGCAAAGCATTTTCGAAATTTCCATTCAACGGTGTACGTTCACACGCCCGATTAATCGTATCAAACCGTATCTTTCCACGTTAGCAAAATACTTCTTTGAAATCCCCCAAAATGGACACGATACAAATCTCTTCCATCGAGAACCCGATTAATCCCGAACAAATTGTCAATTAACATACATATCATCGTGAAACGTTTCAAAATTCGATTCACGCGATTAATCGTATTACAAATCTCCTCTCGATGTCTTTGCAAAAAAAAAAAAAAAAAAACACGCGAAGAAGCTTTTGTTGGACTATTTACCGCACGAATTATCAATTATCGGAAAACAATCGATCAAAAATCCACGAAATCTAGAAGCATAAATTATCGAGAAAATGTTATTTCACCGGATAGACGCGGCCGCGAATTATCAATTCCATATAAATTTCGATTCGAGCCAAATTGCTTGCTCCCGTACCTTTTTTAACCTACAAAATATCAGAAAGAACAACTTTCTCGTCGAGTATTTACCGAAGAATTCGACTAATTTCAGGGGAGCGGCATGGAAGCAATCGATGGAGGGGGTTGCCGGTTCCGGTGGAGGCGGTTGACCGTAGTTTCCGGTTGGCGACGCTCGATCTAACGGCACGGAGGTAAGGATAAAGCAATTAGCGCTTAACTGCAACTTTTCGCCCTTATTTCGCCGGCGGGCTGCGAGAATTACGGAACATGCGTCGAATATTTCGTAACGCGTTAAGCCGGCCGGGCTCGAGAGAAATTTTATCCCGCCGCCGAGCAAAAAGAGAGGGGTTTATTGGGTTACTTTAACGAGAATCAACGCGTTTCATCTGGAATGAAGAGCGAACGTTGGAAAAAGCGGAAAGTAATTAGGACTTAGGTGTATATTTTTTTCCTTCTTCTTCTTCTTCTTCTCCTCCTCCTTCTTTCGTTTTTTTTTGTCCACGCCATTAGGACGGGGATGATTCAGAGTGGGGTTTTCTTTTTTTCGAGAAGTAGGTTATCCTTTCCTTTTTGTTACGTTCGCTCGACATTGCAACATTTTGAAATATCGTTACGCGGGTGCAAGGATAGGTGAAGAAGGAAAATAAAAGATAATGGAGGAATTTCGTTCACGGGCGGGGAGAGTGGAAAGAATGTGTTCGTTGGATTGCCCTGACTTGGGAATTACTCGTGCTTTAAATGAAATGGAAAGAGAGCGGGAATTTTTACTTGTGGGGCAGACTTGAAAGTAATGTCAAGTAACGTTATGCTAACACCTCGAGGGTTGTAAGAGGAAAGACCGCATTTCGCGTTACACGGCGATGTGTATAATACGATGTGAAAATTGGCTCGTTCGTTTTAACAGGATCGATATTGTATATTTGTTGAATTATTTCCGGGGGAGGAATAAATTTCTTCCATCCAGGTGGTTGGTATCGTTCGTTTTAAAAGCTTAATTTTTAATAAGGGAAAAAATAATACTTATTTTTAATCCGAAAACATATTTCCCCACTTTTAATTAATCCAATTTTTTTAATCTCCATTTTAAACGATATTTCATCATCCCAATTAAAATGTTGCTCTTAATCCTGATTTACGTTTTAATTTCCATTCTCGAAGATTTCCAAAAGAAAAAGGAAAAAGAAAAAATCTCCCAAAAAACGAAACCGACGATAATTCGTTTGAAGGAGGGAAACTTTCCTCTAATTAATTATTCACGCGATATTCAATTTCCCGAAATAGGAAAACCCTTTTTTTCAATTTAATCACTTAAACTTGAATCAACGGCGAAAGAGACGGGACGTGAAATCTTGATCTCGAAAAATCCTAATTATAATTTACCACCCCTTAACCCGCCGCCGGTGGTTCACTCTCATTTCAAGCCCGACGTATCGTAGAAAATGGCGAGATTGCCGTCATAAATGGGGGACGGAGGCAATCGGCCGATACACACCGCGACTCCCTGTAAAACGCGATATGCAATCTCGAAATGCTAGATATTGTTATCTATCGATTCGACGATCGCCCTCCTCGTCGTTCCTGTGTACCCTCCTCCCCCTCCCCCTCGTATCGAGTCGCTTTATATATTTTTCCAACCGCTTTTTATCCGGTCGGGTAATATTTCGATCGAAAAAAAGAATTTAAGCACACTTTGGCCGGGGCTTTAA